TAAATAATGATATGAGCAATAATAGTGAATAATAATACAAAAAAAGAAAAAAAATTTCCAGCTATTTCAAATATATTTGAATATGATTTAAATGAAGTTGTGAAGTTTAGAAATTAACTTTCAGGAATTGAATTAAGGTTTGAGAGACTTCATTAGTATTATTCATAATTGAATAGAAAAGAGACAAGAAGTGATGAATTACATTTTCTTCAATTCAAAACCTCAAAAATAAATTTGTAAAAATGTATTTGAGACCACTCCCATGCTTCCAAGTATTAAAAAAAAAAAAAAAAAAAAAAAAAAAATCTATATAAAAATGCAAATCAATTCTATCATCATGTGTTATACAATGCATTTTTTTACAATTTTAATAACTAATGTTTATTTAAAAGCTTTATAGAGAAATAGAAAATGTAAAATAATTCATTCATATTTATATTACATGAGAAATATATACTTATTTGTTTGTTTTGTTTAAAACTTAACGACCCATCGATCAGCAAGAGATCATCTAAGGTCAAACAGTGAAATGTATACTGAAGAGTGTTTGCTTAAACATGGGACTATTACACTAAACTATTCTGAAAACATACCAGAAAATTGCCAGCATTAAACAATTGCAAATATCACTATTTTGCTAAATATAAAAGTAATGATAAGAAAAAGGATTAGTAAATTATTCTCACACCAAAATTACAACCATATACTTTTCTCATGAAAACCATTGATCCTAAAATTACATTTCCAAGACAATATCTACAAACATTATGATATGATCATGTAACCAAACACTTGGTATAAAACAAAAAGGGTCAATCATTGACAACCACAAGTAAAAGGTATATAAAAAAAGTTGAAATGATGTGATATCTGATGACCAACCAAGCTATCCAAAAGACAAAAGCCCAAAGATAAACCTAAGGAAATAACTTATTAAGTCAAAGTTTGGACCACCACAGCAAAACATCGTTTTATATTAAATGTGACAATTGAGGAGTTTGGCCGCTTTATTCTTTTCCAGCAAAGAAAAAAAAAAATCAGAAATAAGTAAACCCTAATGACATAGAAAAGAATAGCAGCTCAAAAATCTATACTTTAATGATAGAATATATCTGAGAAATGACTGAAGAAAAAGGCCTAATGAAAGTACAAAGAGGACAGAATCTGAGACATGGTTAACTAAGAACATATTAGACAAAAGTATGCAATACCAGAAGTAATCAACAATCTTAATTTATTATTTTTACTAAGTCTTGCTTAATTTACACACACACAGAGAAATATTTGTAGTTTTTTTTTATTTAATTTAACTTATAATAGTCAAGTAGGAATTAATAAAACTGGATACTTTTTACAATAAATATCTATAATTAAACATATGGGATAGCTGTATGCAACAAGGATGTAATAAGTGCTGCAGTTGATATAACAATTTTAGTCAATTGGTGAAAGCCACTCTTCTCACAAACCATACCAACTAAAATAGTTAGATATTGTTTTAAGTTATCTTTTTAAAGAAATCTTTTCTCAAACAAGACCAAGAGTTACATCCATGCTAAAAAAAAAAAAAAAAAAGAGGAGGGGGTGCTATACTGAAGAAAATAATGAATTTATTCTGAAATTTATGCTTTCAAAATGTGATTTTTTAGCATTATGTAGTTAAGATTAACTTATTCCTTTTTTTTTCTTCTTCTTTATTATATAGTAAGGAAGAATTTACACTTTACTCCATAACTACTGTTAAGCATATCAAAACATTCTTAAACTTATGTGTGTGTGTGTGTGTGTGTGTGCATGTCAATTTTAACAACTGCTATATAATTTTTAAATAATTTGATAACCTTTTTTCTATTTTCCTGATAAATTTACAAATGAATGAGAAAAGTAATCAACTATGGTTGCTTTTGTGCAAAAGGTAAAGAGGTTAAAAGCTACTTCAAGGAAACTATTTTATTTCCCCAGAAAAGCAGAACAAAGACTATGACTGATGCAGCATGTGATATTGCAGAAAATTTCAGTTCAAAGAAGAAAAATATCTGATGGCCTTGGACATATTTCAGATAAGATTTTGCATATTTAACAGATTCATATTCATTCCTTATACTGTATAAGTTTTTAAAATTAGATTTGACAAAAAAAAATAAATTTATATACAGCTTGTATATCCACTGAAAATAGCTATAAACTGGCATCAAAAATTGACAAATCTTAAATATTTTTAACCATGTTAATGAGATGAGCAGAAATCTAGATATATCTAAAGCCATTGTTGTTCATATTGAGAATCAGATGAACCATTGAAGTTTATAAATAAAAAATGAAATAAGATTTTCCTATCACTGCTTATTATTAATCACCAGAAGAAACATTGTTAATAGAGATCTTCCTAAGTGTAGTTTTGAAGCTTAGTTAAAAAAATGAGTGTAAACTTCATATCACCTGATAACATCAGTACAATGTGATGTTAAACTGTAGTGATCCAGTTTGAAATATTTCTCCTTGATTTAATCAGAAGAAATAAAAAGTAAATGTGAGGATAGAAAGAAAAATGTGTCTTAATTCAGAACCTATCACCAACCAAACTAAAAATCTGTTGACTTGTTTTTGTTATTCATTTTGAAAAGGATAAAAAAGATTAGCAAATGGAAACATTTTTTTTTAATTAAAAATTTCTTGTACACTAAACTGAAATTAGTGAAAAACAACAATTCACCATAAGTAACAAAGGACAATGTAGATTAAAAAATAAATCAAAAGGTGGCTTTTATTGTAAAATTTAGCACACAACAGAGGCCTGTGTGATGATCATAGTAATGTTAATATTAATCAAGGAACTGCAACTGTTATATTTGCAGTGCAACTGTATTCATGACTATCATGAAGAAAGCGTATATTTTTTCTAACAAGTACTAAAGTGATCAGTTAAACACATGCAACACAGAGAGAACCAAAATCACAAAAACCAAAAGAAAAAAAAAAGAAAAGGAAAAAAAGAAAAAGAAAAACTCAAAATGAAGAATGCTGAAAGTGAAATTAAATATGGCACAATGCATGAGGTCCTCAGATTCACCACCTGGCATGCTGCAATGGCACTGTGTCCTTCATTGATCAGAGCCAGTCTTACAAAACATGGCCGTATCTTGCATTAGAGAGAGAGAAAAAGAGAGAGATTGGAAATACTCAATTTTTAGGGAAAATAATGATATAAAAGCCAACAAATACAATAACAATTGATATGAACTACAAGTTAAAAAAATGGTTGGTCTCTCCAAACAGTATTAATAATAATAATATTAAAGAGCCTTGCTCTAACAATTCTTCACAAATGTTTCAGATTTTTAAGAATTCAGTTTGCTAATAACTGTAAAATAATGAATTTTGTTGACATGGGGGGGAAGGGGGAAGTCTCCAAATTAAATTCACTGAAGTTTTATTTCTAATGTTCACAAAGAGAGATTGCATTAAAAAAAAAAAAAAAAAAAAAAAAAAAAATCTTATGGTAAGATATTCTTGAATTTGGAAAGAAAATACTTCAATAAAAACCAACAAGTCTAATCCATCACATCCAGACAAAATATTGATTTAATAAAAAAAAAAAAAAAAAAAAAAAAAAAAATCAAAACTAAAATTCAACTACAAATAATAATAAAAAAAAAGTATGTTTTTAATAGAAGCAAACATTCACTATCCTAAGTCATCATGGAAACAGTATGCTATCAACCAAATATTAGTATTTGTTGCCTTAAAAGAAAAAATAATTTCTTTAAAATAGTTTAATTTTGTTAATTAAGTTCAAAATGTTCCAAATTGTTAACACTAATTCAACCATCTACCAAGTCTAACACATTCAATGAACAATAAGTATTTTGAAAAATATTACATCAACCAACACATATTTCAAAATTAAACTGATAAAATTAGTTAAAAACTGAAAATTAAATTAATCTTAATACAAATACTCCTGAATTAAAAATAAAATCAATTTAAAAAAAAAAAAAAAAAAAAAAAAAAAGACAAAAAAATTAATCACATGCATGTAACAATAAGAATTTAGTTGATTTTATATAGTCCTTTTGGAGACAAAATGCATTAATTCCATTGAAATAGGATATTTTTATTCATAATTTTAATGGCTATTTTGTAAGCAGAAAAATGTCCAGATAACAGTTGTGTTAACAGATTTTAAAAGTTAACACAAGTCTGTCATTAAAGAGAATTGTCTTCATTTAGATGAGAAATTTTGACTACAAGAAACAATTTCAAAAGAAATTGAACTCTTATGATTCATGAACTCTTATATAAATCATAGAAACATTTGTGAGTAGCAAAGTTAAACTGTAATACATTATTATTGGAGAAATTCTATTACTTTGAAGAGAAAAATGTAATGATGATGATAGTGGTGGTGGTAATTATTAAATCATGTTTTCAACTACTCCCCACATAATGGGATTTAGTTATAATTTCATCATCATTTATTTACAATATAAAAAAGATAATTTACATGGATTACATGCCAATGAGATATAGAATATGTATATTAAAAAACACAAAAGGGAGGAGGAAAATAAAGAGGAAATAATAGCATATCTTAGAGGATTGAAAACACTCTAAGCAACAGCAAAGATAATTCCAATATAAGTAATTCTGAGTGATTTATATTTTTACCATCCCTCAGACTATTTCATTACACAGGGCAATAGAGAATTCATGTTACAAGACAATAAGTTCACATACTACAAAACACTAGAACCATACATACTACTATATTGAAGCCTCAATGGAAATGGCACTTGAAAAGAGTTTTCAAATTCAAATAAGTTTAACTGCAACCATGATAACATTAGGATAATTAATGTTTCAACTTTAGGAAAATTATCAAGTTTCATTAATACTGCCATAAATAAAAAGCATGAAAAGACCTATTTGCTAGACAGTTACAACACTGAATCTCATTCAGATGAAAAATCAAAGTGGCAGAAAGAGAGGACATAACTTACCCTGAGTTTTGGGTTTTTGATTCGTTGGAAATAGATCTCCAGCTAAAAGAAAAGTAAATAACAACAGTACAATATATTAAGTTCACCAAATGATTATCAAGAGAAAGCAGGACCCACATAAAGAGAAATTGTAGTGATATCTAGATTAAAGACTTTTCTTCATTCTTATGACATATCCATTGTACAGAAACTGTAAAGTTTCTATTTAACTGTTGCTATCCAGTTTTTTTCTAATGACGCTGTCTTGAATATGAAAAAGTTGAAACTTTCTAAATCAATACAATTACTCCTTGTAATTTACTATCAAACATTAAAGCAAAAAGATATCTATTTCTAATATTCTTACAAATATCTCAGAGAATATACTGGAATCCACAAGACTGAAACAAAAACATCTTTACAGATAGCAGATGATCACAACTGAAGATAATGTTTCAACATGCCATACTACAGCTATCCAAATGGTCATAAAAATCAAAATATATCTCACTATTCGATAATTATCCAAAACAGACTGAACTAGTCAATAGATCTTATAATAGTCATGCAATTATAGCAGTGAATGTTCAAGAGAAAATAATCTGGTGATTGCATAATGAAATCTCTATACATACTAAATTTGTTTATTCTTCTTAAGAAAAAGTCTTACAACTAATTATTATTGCTGAATTCTATTAATTTTCTATTATTAAATTATCATTAGCGCTTAACATGCAAGACAAGAATAGCAAGAATAAAAAAATTTAAAGAGATTTTAATTTAAGGTTAAATTAATTTTTTTAAATCTTGAAAAAATATATTTAGAGAATTTTTGAGCAAAAAAGTAGTTAAATCAATATTATAATTTCAAGTTTTCTTATTTAGAGGACAATTTTGAGATATATATATATATGAAATTCTTCTTTCTAATATAAAATTGATGAACATTTGTGTGTGTATTGAGATCAGTTATATAGAATCCGCCAATAATGATTTCGTGTGTGTGTGTGTGTGCGTGCGTGTATATATTTTAGCATCTAGTAGGCATCTTCATCTATATTTGGGGGTATTCCATGTTGATTTGGAGAAGTTTTGTGTGCAAGTGAAAGAATTTTAAGTTAGTTATTTTTTTTCTTTTTATATATTTAAAAAAAAAAAAAAAAAAAAGTTTTAGTCTGTTCTGTTTCCGAGTATTATGAATAGGTTTCCCTTATGTTTGTAGATGAGGGCTTTTAAATTTCTAGATGCCTATTTCCTACAAGCATTAACAGTTTGTTGCCAAGTGATATTTATGAATAAGCAATATTTGCTCCAAATAATTTATTTTACACCAGGTGCATAAAAAGGTACAACAGTCTCATAGTTAAACACAGAGAGAGAGAGAGAGATAAAAAAAATCAGTGAGCAAAGATTGAATTCTGTTTGAGCCTATGTTGGTTTATTTTAAACTATTAGATTCAGAAAAAGCAAGAATTCACTTTTTACTGTGTTCTCTCAAAATCACAAAAATATCTTTACAAATATACAAAGTTCTATCAGGTCAGGAATTCTACTATTGTACCATATAATCCAATACTCTCTGTACTGTGAAGATGAGCATTACCAAGAAACAATTTCCTTCCCTTCAAAGGAAAAAGAAAAATCCAGCAAGAAACCTGAAGTTGATATTAACTGAAAATTTTCAGTTCAACCTCTGAGATCAAGCTGTGTAAAAGTACACTAGTTTCCTGGGGATGGGTCAAATTGATTGTAATAACTGTCTATATTTCCGAGATGCTGTATTATGTACATTATTTGGACTATTGTCCTCATCTTTGTTGCCATAGGACACATGGCACAGTGGATAAAGGCATGTGTTAGATCCAGTGACAGGACCCAAAGAGTGCGAGTTCAATACCTGGTCAAGGCAGTAGAGAACTTTCAGAGGGAAATTAACAGGAGATAACCGATAACTGACATCCATTAAACATGGCATGTGGAACTAGAACAGTCTATCCCAGTGAGCGAAATAAAGGGTTCAGTTTGACATTCCAACCACCTAAAGAAGGCTGGAGCGTTGTAATAAATATGGCAGCAAAGATGAGGACAATAGTCCGAATAATGTAAATAATGATGGTAATAAGTTTGGAAATCATTGGAAGAACAGAATATCATGGTACAAAATAAAGGATTCTATTTAAAATTCTGGGATGGTTCCCAAATTAAAAAAAAAAACAAACAAAAAACAAAACAAACATTGTATGGTTGAAAAATACAAGGACTAGATAATTGCTAGTAAAATTGAAATAATATGAGTATGTAAAAAAAAATAGTCATTTTGTTACATTTTATGAGTTTGTGTATTTTTCTCTACAAGCTAGAGAGTTAGAAATAAAAAAAATAAAAAATTGATAGTTAAGCCTAGACAGACAAAAGTTATAGACAAAACAACTGCTTAATATCTGAAAATAAAAGGAAATTAGAAAACTACTGACCTGTGTCCTATCAATGGTGTGCTGATAGTATGTAAAAGGTTTCCCAGTCCACGACACTGCACCGCACAGTGGAGAAAGTTCTTTCACTTCCATTATAGTACCTATGTCTGAAAAAGAAAACATTTAGACTTCACAGTAATACAAAAACAAACATTATAGTCACTGAAAAACAATTGAAATATTGCAAAGACTATTTTTTAAAAATTCAAGTCTTATCAATATGATTTCAAAGGAGTCATAGAAGAGCAAAATACAAATAACATAACATGCCTTTAGTTGATATTTATATATTTCATGTGTATGAAATCAACTTCTGATCCCATTCAAATTTGTACAATTTTTCTTTCATTTCATTTTTCTTTCCCCAGTTCATAAAATTCAAAATGATTGTCAGCAACATTAGGGGAGATTTGACTTACCACTAAGATTTCGGTCTGTTATTCGGAAGTTTAAAGGGCAGAATGCTTTTGATGATACAATCTTAGCACCTTCCTTCATGTTGGCAAATCGAAGTTTCAACTGGAATAAAATCAATAAAGCCATAAATAGAATGAAAATTTATCCCCTATAAACAATAAAACAAATAGAATTCTCTGGTCCATGGATAGTTACACAACTTAGATATCAAGGTATTGTTTTCTTAGTCTTTGTTTTAATTATATCTATAGTATTAGAGGATTCTGTTTGTCAATGATGGAATTATGCTGAAATGACAAGTACTATGAAGATTCACAAGGTACTCAGTTGTGGCTCAGGCTTGAAAGGCCATTTAAGCGCACCAGGTTATCAAAGAACATAATATGCCACTTCTAGCCAAATGACACCCACAATTCCAATAGACATGCCCTTTGAATTCAAGTGATTTCAATTACTAGTGAAGTTCAGCTTCGCCATGACCATCAGCAAGACACAAGGACAATATTTGAAGCTTGCTAGACTGAGCTTAACTTCTCCATGCTTTTTCCATGACCAGCTCTACAGTGATTATTCTGAGGTTGGATCAGCAAACCTTTTCAAATATGCATACACAATAGAAGCCTTGCCAATATAACCTAGTGGATTAGAGAACTTTAAAGAACAAAAATCATAAAGAAGTTAAAGATGACACCATTAATTTAACAACCTCATTTTCTCAATAATGCTAGTCTTTGTTCCGAGCTATTGTCAGTTGTTTCCCTTCTGAGTTTTAAATGCACAAAATAAAGAAATAAGTTTTAGCTGAAAAATTACAAAATTTAGTGTTTAATCAACTTTTCCTCTACCATTAAGGATATTTCATTTCTTACTGTAGAAAATGACCAAAATTAAAGTGGGCTTTAAAGTCAATAAAATCAGGTGGGTGTGAAACCTTTACATACCAAATTTAAGTGAAGTTAGCACTAAAACATCATTCCTTTAATTCATGCTAGAATTTGCTCTATCAATATATATATATATATATATATATATATATATATATATATATAGGGGGGGGTGAAGAAATATTCATACACCATGATATTTTTTTTTTATTTAACAGATTTTATAAAAGAATTTTATAATCTATACAATATTTGTATACCATGGCCCATGGCATAATGCTACAATATGTAAAAAATTTCAGAAAAATGTTATATTAATGAAATTAAAAAATTTGGAAGTAAAAAAAGTATCCATACAACATTATAATACCTATATAATACTTTGTAGCATATCCCTTACTAAATTCAACAGCAATCAGTCTCTTTCTGTAGCTTTTAATCAATTATTTGTAACTTTCCATTGGTATTTTACTACATTCTTCTTTGCATATTTTCTTTAGGTCCAAGATGTTTTTCAGAGCTCTTTTATTAACTTGAATTTTTAATAAATGCCACAAATTCTCTATTGTATACAAGTCTGGAGACTGTGATGGCCATTTGAGTGTATTAACATTGTTTTCAATAAGCCATTTTTCGTAGATTTAGCCTATAACTTTTGCCTTCCTTCCAATGTTTGATGATCAATTCTTTTTGTGCATTTGATAGTTCCTTGCCTTTCCCCATGATGATAATTACTGTGTATGATTTGTGTGAAGAAATAACTTTATATAAGAAATGAATTGTGGAATGTTTTAGATTGGTTTGGTAACAAGACAATTCGAAGAATCTAGCAAAATCTTACAAAGAATTATGTAAATAAAGGTAATTTAAGCCTTTTGATATTAGAGGCATATTTTGTATGAATATGTTTTTCATATCAAAATTTTATAAATAACACAATTTGATTTATAACAAAGTTTTCTAATTATTTTTTGTATATTGCAGCATTATGCAATGGTTTAGAAATATTGCATGGATCTTAAGTAGGTACCTTCACTCAATTTTTTGATACCTGAGGTTTAAAATGAATTTTTAAAAATGAAAAAGCATTCTTAAAGATTTTATTTTAGCTTTAACTGAAAGCTAAAAGGATTAAATTTATTATTTCCAGTAAGTAAAATATTCTGGTGTATTTCAGAAATTATATAGATTGGAATGTCAAATATATGCTAGATTTTTTTAAAAATTTTCTTAAAAGCGGCCATTTTCTTAAATTTTAAGAAATTTATAAACAAAAAAAATTTTGATTTTAAAATTCTTCCTAAAATAAATTATCTATTTCTGACATGTTATTTGAGTAAAATTAGAAAATTTAAAGTTAAATTAATCTGATTTGAAACAAACATTACTTATAGCATAAAAAGATTGTATCCAAACATTTCTTAATGTGTCTGAATTTTTCATGTCTTTATTCAAGTTATCGATGTTATTGAGAAGTTACATGTGATGACAGCTACTATGGATGACCAAAATTGACATAATTTTACAAAATGTAAGCAAACAAATTTTTTTGGTTTTTAACTAGTAATTTTTAAATATTAACATTTTTTTCAGCAATTATGTAATATTTATTTTTTATTTAATACTTTTTTTTAGTCTGGGTTTTGTTACTTAGGTTCTTAATTTTCTTATCTTATTTAATAACTTACTAACTTAAACAAAAAATTACTTCAATGAAACATGACCCAAACAAAAAATTACTTCAATGAAATATGACCCAAACTAAAATAAATATCTAAAATGAAAATATTTAATAAAAAAGTAATTAACAAAAATTAAAACTAAGAAATTTTGAAAGGACTTTTTGCAAACAGGTTAACGATGTGAAACAGAACTGGATATTGAAGGGAAATAATTGCAGTGCATTAGACGACACTCAAATCACGTGACCTTTTTAAGGATTATGTCATGTCCCATAGATAGAAATTAGGAACGTTTTTTCACTAAAAAAATATTTTTAAAATTATTAAAAAATATTCAGGTTCAAACGACTTATGCGCTTTACAAATTTCAATTCGTAAATTTACTTTTCACTTAACCATATCACCAAATTGCATTTTTAAAAGCAATGAAGAATTTTAAATGATTTTTGAAGTATTAATCTTCTAAATAAAATTTAAAAAAATAAAATTCTTATAAAAATTCATTATTCATCAAAAAAATTTTATTTCTTCAGACAATAGTGTATTTAATATAACTTATTTACAAAAGCAAGTAAAAGCTTTTCTAATTAAATGTCAGATTTTTTGCATTTTTTTTTTTTACAATTACAGAGCAGATTTTCAATGAAACAGGTAAATGTTTTACAAAAAAAATTGATTTACTTTCTCTAAAGAGTCCTGTTCTTAACTAATAATTTAAATCATGACAACATCCTACAATTGAAACCAAAACAAAAGAGGTTATGTTCTGAAAATACAGTCTTATTTCAACCATGACCACACTAAGCTGAATTAGAACATACACCAATATACAACCAAGCATTAAAATGTGTCTCCAAGCAAACAATAATGAACCTAATGAGGGAATAAAGCTAGCTATAAAAAAAAAAAAAAAAAAAAAAAAAAAAGAAAAGAACCCACAAACAAAAGAATAAAGCATTACTTGACATTGAGGCTTAACTTTTGAAATTAGCATACCCACTCCTGAAATTTAGAAACAATTTCCTAAATTTCATTGTATCAGAGGTGCATGCCCAAAAAGTAAGGTGTATCACACATGGAAATAAAAAGGTGACCCACTGAGAGCCTTGTACCTTATCTTCACTCCATCAATTATAGTAAAGGTACTAATGAACATTGTATTAACTACGCTGCCACTATTCTAAGAAAATCAACTCTCCACAACATAGTTTGGCTTTCACTCCAGTAAGGGGTGTAATGATGGCATATATATCATCAAACAACTCCACTCATTACTTAAACATTCCATAACATATTCCAAATGAATCTACAAATTCCTGCTTCTCTTTCTGAGGTCAGTCTACAAAGGAGATGGCCATGCTGATAACAGATATCCACAGTTATGACTAGAATAAGAGTTTTTTTTTTGTTCTTTTTTTAGAAAAACAAAAAAACAAAACCATTGCCTATGAAGTAGGACTCAAGATAACCATTACCAAAACAGAAACAATCGGATAGAGGAAAAAAGCAAAAGGAAAAACAGTTCAGAATGAAATTTAGAAACAATGAAAATTTGACAATGACTCATTATGTAATAATCCTCCAAAAACCCCAGTAAATTCTACTGAGTATTACTTAATGATGTGTATTATCAGTGCAATTTAGAAAGTTCTTTCACATAGAACATTCTGTTGAGTAGCTAATATTTTCTACTGTTCATTACAAATCTATTTCATTCTTTTGTATAAAGAACAATAACTTTATTTCGAATATTGATGCTTTTAAACAAAAATGCTACAAGCGATGACATTTTTCCTACTTCATTGGAAAAAAGACAAAATCCTCTACTTACATAAAACTATCTCATCTCTTAATTCATGTTAAAAACAGGGCTGAGAAATATTTACAGATAAATAAACTTTTTCTTAACTAATTCACTGCAAGGTCTTTGGCAGCTTCTGTTCAATGTCAGGTCACTTCCTATTTGAAGAATCTATATAATTTGAAAATACTAATCATTACTATGATTAAGATGTTTTTTTTTTTTTTTTGCTTTTTTGTATTTGGAAAATAACTAATTAGCAGTTAATAGGTTTGGAGTTGTCTCTTAGAATATTTTTAAAAGTTAATTCATACTTAATTACAAATTAATCAACAGAAAGTGGTATCCCAGTTTTACAGAGTATTTTTCTTTTTCTTCAAGTTATAGCATTTTCATGATATTGCTCTAATGAAAATTGCAATACATGCCACTTTTACAAAGAGAAATATCATTATCATAAAGATAAAATATTACCTAACACAATTACAACTCTATAAATATTGCTCCACAATAGAAACATTCTTTAACAGATTATATATATATATATATATATGCTCAGTTATTAGGAGATCTAAATTCTCATTGATGATTAAGATTTACTATTATATATAAGATTAGAAAAATAGCATGGATTTTAAAACCAGTTACTTTTTAACTTGTTTCAGATATTAACCACATCTGTAAAAAAAAAAAAAAAAAACCCTAAAAAACTTGGATGTGAGTACTTTTGAAATGACCCCAACCCTCTTTACTGTGCCCTATAGGTACCTCCACGAAATCGCTAAAAAAGAGCATAGCTTGATGAGAAAGTCGCCCATCTTGCCGAAAACAAAATTTTATCGTCTAAATGCTTATGTTATTATTAAGAGGAAAGACTAAAGTTTTTTTTTTTTTTAATATTTTAAAAAATTTTTCCTTTTTAGAACATTCTAAATTTTGATTAAAAAAAATCTTGTTTCTCTTTGTATCAGCGGAACTAGTAAATAACAGACAATTTTTAGCATGTTTTTTTGGTATGACACACATTAATTTGGAAAATCGTGCAAAAATATAAATAATTGTCGGATATTAATGAAACTTTCAGAAACTATTCACAGATGATCGAAATTATTATAAGTTTTTTTTTTATTAAAGTCATGGCAGAAATATTTTTTTTATATTCATTACCCCCTATAATTAATTTTATGAAAATGCTAGAAATTTGATCAAGTCTAGTTTAATGATTACAATAGTTAAAAGTACAAGGCTTTGAGGAATGCAAATCAGGTTTTTTTTGTTTTTAATTGGACCCCCACCTGAAAATCAGCTCTGAATTGTAACATACAAAACTCAATAAAACAAAGATATTATTTAATTTCAAATGCTTTTATTTCCTTTTAGTTGTTTTTATGAATATGGACAATATTTTCTGAAAGCAAAAATTTTTTTCGATGAAAAATGAATTTTTAATACAATTATTTGTTATTTCTTTAATTATAATAGATTTTTACATTTAATTTTTTAAAATATTATAAAATTAGTTAAAAGCAGCATCCACTTTCGTAAATGTCCTTATGAGATAGATTTTTTTTTTACCACATTGTAAATTTTATTGTGACTAATCGCAAGACCCACAGTAATTAAGAAATCTAATTTTGTGTTTATAATTGGGCTGTAATTATGAAGTACAGAAGACCAACCAGAATACAATTAAGTTGCATTATTTCAGTTAAGCATTGTTCTCCGCTGTTAAGGCCTTTACTTTTGCGAAAGTAGTGTGGAGAAGTTAATTTGATTTTTCAATTTCAACTGAGAAGGGTACCTACAAGTATCAGTATCATCTTATGAAATTTATATTATCTTATTTTTATATTAATCTCAGTTATAACATTTTTCCATAAACGAAATATCAAAATTAATAATAAAATGAATGGAAATACAAATAACACAGTAAAATGTAATAAATGTACATAAAATTATAGTATTTTATGTACACTTCTGATAAATTTCATAAGAAAGGTACCTATAAATTAGATACCTTTCTTATGGAATATGAAATTTAATCTCACTCTTAATAGTCTTATTTTAATTTCTTTATAATATATTTTCCATAAAGCATCATAAACGTAAAGGTGAAAGCTAAGGAAAAAAAAAAAAAAAAAAAAAAAAAATTAGAGCGCTGAAAGTTTTCCTTAAAAATAACGAGGTAAATAATTTGTTCACTTAAATATAAATATGTAAATTATTTCACTTTTCTCCTTCCGTAGAACAAATTAGCCTCACAGAATCTGTCAATATGTCATTCATCACCTGTTAAGTGATGTGAAAGTTTATGACTGGCTTTGTTTTATTTTCAAATTACATCTTTTTGGCACAAAAGCTTGGTTCAAAATATTTTAAATAAACATTATAATTTATGATTCTTAAAATAAGTTTTGAAAAAATGATAATTGATAGTTAAAAGAATTTCAAAGTGAGATTTCCAGTTCTTTTACAAAAAAAAAAAAAAAAAAAAGATTTTTAAGGAAAATTTCAGACGCGCTTGGAACGCTTAAAAAATGTAAAAAAATACCCCCAAAATACGTTTATCTTTCCTCTTAATAATAACAAACATTTAGACGATAAAATTTTGCTTTTGTCAAGTTTGGCTATGCTCTTTTTTTTGCAATCTCGTGGAGGTACCTATACACAATTTATCGTAACAATGTGGTATCTAACTTCCTAGAGGATAAAGTATTAAATAAAGCATCTCCATTCTTAAAATAAAGAGTAATAAAAGTTTCTATATTTTTTCTTTTGTTTTTACACCTCCCTTTTTTCTTGTCTACCTCTGGCCTTTCATTCACATCTTTCTCCTCTCCCATGTTTTTTCCCAAGTCTGTTGTAGTATAGAAAGAAACTGATAGGCAGTTGTGTGTGTATAAATTTATTACACATTAGAGAAGCAAAGAAAAAAATATCTTACCTGATGATCAACCTGAGGTCCAAAAGCAAAATTATTAACAAATATCACACTGCAATTAGAAAGAAACAATATATATTTTAGTTTACAAGGGAAAAAAAAAAAAAAAAAAACATTATCAATATGTGCACATTTTTATTTTCAATACACGTTTTAAAAGTTTAACAGATAAAATTAACTAAATCAATCTTAGCAATAAACTACACTAATACAATAATGTATTATCATATTTATACTTTTGCATACCAAAATGATTTGCATGGTATGGGATTAGAAATTACCAATGACAGTAATTTTTGTCAATCTTCACTTTTTTCAATATATAAAAATTAACTGGAAAAATATTACCAATATTGTAGGTTAGGCAGAGTATTAAATGTAACCTGTTTACTAATTAGCATAACTTGAATAATTAATAATGATAAAAAAATACGCACGTTGCATTGTTGATCTTCTCCTTCATTTCATCTGATAAAAAGTCACCTTTCTCCAACTAGACAAGAAGAAAGAAAAAAAAAAAAAACTTTAGAACATATAAAAGAATAATAGTAAAAAGTGGAAGGATCAAGTAAATCTGATTAAATCAGATCACTTGACCTAAAGGGTGTTAAAAGAAAATTCTGTTAATAGAAGCTATGGTTATGATCTGAAATTTTAGAATAAAGAATGTTATAAAGCTGTAAAAGAAAAGCATTAAAATTTTTGTTTAAAATGAGGCACTGTTTTAGGTACTGAAAACTTCATTTTTCCTAGAGCAAAGTGCATCTCAAGAGACCAAATTGCAAACATCACCTAATATACACACTGCAATTAAAGAGAATGATTACAAGAAAGAAATATGTTAGCTGATATTTATTATGAAAGAATTCAATTTTCAGATATTAACCACAGATGCTATTAACAAAATTGGTACACATTTTAGGAGACACACAAATAAAGTTAAAGCTTTCACTTTATGCATACACTTTAAAATAAACTATAAAAAAGTGTAGGAAAACCTAAAACTGTGACATTTCATATAATGATCAAATGATTTTATGGCATGTCAAAAATCAATATAAAACATGCTTTGGCTACCATTATTTCTTGTAACATCAAAAAAGTATTTTTTTTTTTAACGGTTACCTCTTATAGTCATGGGGATGCGAGTTGTGTAATGTAATGCCAATGATTATTTGCATTGAAAGTGGAATTGGCAAGACAAGTTCAAATTCTAGTCTAGTCTGTTGCATTCATTTTTTCCACAAGTAGTCATGACAATTTATATATAATTAAATAAAAGAGAAAGCAATTTACTAAAGTGAAAATGTATAGAAAGTGCACTGAATGCTAAATCACCCATAGTAAATTTGTGTCTAGGTTTTCACATTTCAATTTTCTTGGTCATCATCATATAAGATATGGCATTAAAACAAGAATAGTTAAACAATAGTTAAGAAATAAGAGTTAATTGCAATAATTATAATCTGTTTATTCATATTATAATCACACAACCAACATCAGGTAAAGAATATGAAGAAATTTTAGGTAAAAATATAATTTATCTTTGTTTAAACAATATTCTCAGGATGTTGTTTTTTTTTTTTTTTTTTAAGATATTGTATTACATTTATCCCTTGTTAAAACCTACATGTGCAGGATTTTTACAATCAGATAAATTTAGATCTACAATGAATGAAGACAAAAATGACAATCTCTGGCGTTCAACAAATAAATGAGGTTATTTTTAGAGAGCAACCAATTCTTAATATTTAACAGAATTCTGTAGATTCAACCTCAAATCAATGTTACTGCATAACTTATGCTTGAAAGCCATTTAATTTTGGTTCATAATTGCACAAACTTAGAGAATTTCTTCAAAATGTGTAAAACGATAAAAGCACACTGTACACTCATTAATTTGCACCATTATCCTCATCTTGGTTATTATACAGTGTACAGCAGAAATATCTCCCACATAATGGTAAGACATTAATGGTGTTTTCATTGAGCTAATTATCTGTGAGGTATTTTTGCTACACCCTGTATTAACATTTCAGCCATTGTACCTGTGACCATTAGTCTTCTACAGCTACCAGACATATTTGCATATATCCTCCGAACATCAAACCAAATCCTTTATCCAAGTAGGATAGGAGGTACAGATAAACTATTCTTATTCTGTTTTCCTTGCTAGGGGATATCTCACATTAATCCTTCTGTGTTAAATAATTCTTGTGATAGGACAAGAGTTTGGTGGGTATAAGCATTAGTAGGATATGTAGTTTACATAAAAGTTCCGAGCCAAATTGTGAAATCTACATGCTTTAATGTAAGTGGTATTACAAGAACAAATTAACTTGGAAACAGATAAAATATTTCCATTTTAGACATAGGAATGAAACCTGTTTACACTCAAAGTTTATTTGGAATCATGAGAATGTTGCCAAATATGACGGGTACCTGAAGGGCACAATATCCAAAACATTGTGATTATAACAAGTCAAGAACACCAGTTAGAATAATTTATATAACTTCAAAAATTCAGATAAAAATTGATAAAAGATTATTTATCCCTTAACCAAAAGAGAAAATATTATCTGTCTGGTTCTCTTCTCCAAATTTTGTTGTGGAATGTTTGCATTTGACAAACCTAATCATTCTAAAAACATGTGATCTATCAAATGTGAAAGAGTTAAAAAGTTGAAGTGGAAAAATTGTGCAGTTTTCAATCTAACATGAGAGTTTATAAGACATTTCTTTTGTATATTGTTGACTTTACAATAAATGTTTTTCATGTATTATATTCAGAATTATTTTTTTAATCTGCATAGATTATCTGCTAGATTTATGATAAAAGAATATTTAAAATAGATTGTATAAAAAAATAAAATAAAAAATACTAAACACATGAACAGATTCTTTGAGCCTTTCAACAATTATGCAAGCTGAAAGTTGTTTTTCTTTTGGGTCATCAGTCATAAATTACTAACCTGATACTGACCATGCCGTTTTCCATACCATTTCATCCATTTGAGAAAGACTTTGTCCATGTTCTGAAATTTGAGAAAATTTAAAATGAAATTCCTTGATATGAAACATTAGAATAAATTGCTTTTCAATTTGATTACAAATGGAAAATATGACTATTTTGAGCAATTAATAAGCCAGGAAAAAAATGCATTTTGTACTGCATAATTGATAAACTCAAATGGATTGGTTTCTCCTAATATTTCTTTTATGACAAGTCTTATTTTTCCCAACCAAATGTTTCTTTAACTTGCATTGTTTGTAATACATCTTAACTGAAAAGTGACAAACCTAGGAATGATATTAATTTCTTGTTCAATATTTTTGGCCACCTAAATCCACAAAATCTATAAAGTGTAAAATGACAGAATTATAACCAAAGTACACTAAATACAAACCAATCCAACTATGAAGTGTTTGCAGTCTATAAAAAAAAGACTATATACAAAAGTGCCATAAAGTTCAAAGAGCTAAGAGAAAATTCATTTTTAACCATGTCCAAAAAAGTTATTTATTCAAGTATACAGTTTAATATTTTTAAACATCTGTGATAGTAATTTTATCAGTTTTCTTATGAATCTTAATCAATACAGACGCTCTCCACCCTCCATTTGTAAAGACTTTTAAGCCATCTATGTAGAGAGGAATATTTTCCATCACTGGTTTTTTGTCTTTATCTTTGGCTACAAGCTTTGTACTAAATGCTAATGAGTTTATAAAAATAAAATGCAAGCTGAAATCTACTTAAGTACTGTGAGAGCAAATAGAGAGGGGGTAAGCAACATATCAACCTACAGATCAGAATTATAAGTAAAACTAGTCCAATAACTGTATCAAACAAACTTCACCCTGTAAAAAGAAAACTGGAAAATGGATTGAATGAAAGAGTGTTGGAAAGGAGGAGGTTAAATATAAATAAAATCTCAAAAACTGAGATATCCAGATTTAAAGAAGCTTTGCCTTAATGCAAAATAAGACAATGATAGATTGGCACTAAAATGTAAAGCAGATGTATGAGGTCTCCTAGAGAATTTATACAATGAGCATTATATAGTTTATGACAGTTATCAAAGAATAACTCAGTTGATGATCATTAGCAACCAGATTACAAATTTTGTAATAAAAATGGGATTTCAAGATCAATTAGGTGTTTATGATTTGTTTTAACAATACAAAAAAAAAAACAACAAAACATTAGTTAGCAAGTTCATTTCTTTAAGTTTAGTCAGACAAATTTGATTTCTTCAAGATACTATAAATCAACTATCTACAACATAGTAGTTCTTAGCACATAAAAATGTTTGATCTTAATATTTACAGATTAGTGAATATTAGAAGAGAAACATATATACCCACAAGAAGCTATGAAGTAATGAAAATGAGGGTTGTTGTCATGAAAGTGATTTGGGAAAAGAAAATTAAGAAATAAAATAAAAACTAGTATATTATGAAAGATGAATTTAAAATAATGAGACAAGAAAATGTTGAGCAACATGATTTTTAAAATTTTTTTTAAGTATATGACTGCAGCTCATCCAGAATATCAATAAAAAGAACATTTTTTAAAATTAGTCAACTTACAGAAGCGTAGGTTGCTGGCCACTCAGATTTTTCAATGCCATAGCACATTTTACATGGAGTTGCAGCAGATACTTGGAGAACAACTTGACCAACACCTACAATGAATTAGTTCAAAGGTTAAGAATGTAATAAAACCCAAAAGGTTTATAATTGCACTGAAGAAGAAAAAAAAAAAAGCTAATACATCAGAAAGCAAAAGATCAAAAACCAGAGCAATCTTAAAAAAACAAAAACATGTACTTTCAACTTTAAATTTTTCTAGCAGTATATCTTCTATAGCCATTTCAGGCAATAATAATAAATGCATTAGATACATTGTCCTTGCAAATAGAAATGCTGTAAGGGTTCAATCCTAATGTATAGCATAAGGATTAGAGAAACTGCACTTAATGATGAGTGGAAAACAAAATTGTGAAAAGAAAGAGCTAAAAGGTGGAATTTTGAGAAATATGAAATAGACATGAATACATTTATTCTTACCACTTCCCAAGTCAATGAAGAAATCATCTTCAGTGAATTGAATCGAGCTGATCATCTGATCAACAAGTTCAAATGAAGTCTCTCCATAAACCTACAAACAAACAAAATTTATTATAATTTCATGTAGAATATAGGAAAATTAAAGAAATTTAGACAAATTTAAGAATTATTTTAAATTAAATTTCAACAGAAACTATTTTATTTTTAAATATAAAACTTGTAATAGCACAAACTAAACAGAAGGCTTGAAAACGTTCTCAAGTCATGAATCTTTATGGAAATGCAGGCTGGTAAATGGGGACATGTAACTTTGAGTTACTGGATAATTTTAGTTAAAATTTCCAAAGTGAAAATAAGGAAAACCATAGTAAATAAAAAAAATATCAATTGATAGCTATTTTTTAAAACCATTATCATTAATATTTGGTGACCCTAAATGAAAACCTGAAAGTGCATCAATAAAAATTTTTTTTATTAAAAAAACGAAAATGAGGATTTTGAGTCAAAACTGAAACTTTATCTATTATAGAACATTGTGCTTATACAATTACAACAAATCACATAAAAAACTGTAAAAAAACTTTTCTTCATTAGGAAATTGTGGATTTAGTAGAAAGAATTTTTTTTTTTTTTTTTTTAAAGGATAATGATTGAAAGTTTTGTAATTTTTTGATAATGGCAAACTAGTAATAAAATATTGCTCAATCTATTAAGATTTGTAAGATGTTTATTTAAAAAAACCATTCGACCTGATAATGTTATCTTATATTAATCAAGTTAAAAAAATCAGTTCCACAGAAATGAGATCAGTACTTATGAATATGAAAAGAAAGCATTATATTTGTCAAACTATGAATACCAAAGTATATCACTCATTAGGCTATAATAGAAAAGCTAATCGAAGCATCAACATCTGTATAGATCATGCGGTATTATTTATATTTGAATCTTTTTTTTTTTTTTTTAAAAAACATTAACTATTTTCAGAGATATTAACATTAGCAAATACATATTTATGATGTGCAAGATTATCTTTTTGTTTCTTGTTATAATACTTTGTTAGATAAAACACTCAAAATATTCTAGTGGAGAATCTTATTTAAAACAAAGATAAATCAGTAAAAATTTGAATTTCGAAAGAAAATGTGAAAGAAAATGTAATATAGCCATATATATATATATATATATATATATATATATATATATATATATATATATATATATATATATATATATATATATATAAAATGCCAAACAAAGTAAACTGACAATAATTATGAACAAGATTGTTCTTTTCATATTTATGAAGGTATGACAGAACATGACTTCATTGCATGTAACTATATATAAGTATCCTATTTTTATGTTTCTTTACCAAGGTTGATTTCAGAAGCAACCAAGGGTAAAAACATTTTTAATTATCCAATTAAAATTTGAAAAGTATGATATAGGGTGTAGCAGAAATACTTCCCACACCCTGTACATAATGATTTTAATTCACAAACTGACATGTCATTTGAACATTATCTCGACAATCAAAATTCTATCATTCATTTTTACGCCTGAAGCAAAAGCATCACAACCAGATACTTACCTCAGGTGAAAATGGTTCATACTGATTAAGTTTCTCAGGATCAGTGACTGCTTGGTTGTAACACTGTTGTAAAATGTGTTTCAGTAGGTTCGTAGACGGCCTGGTGTATAAGTGATTTGGACGGGGAGTTCCTTGCTGGAAAATGAAAAGTCTTTGATACCAAATGCTAATTTAATATTAGTGTGTTAATTACACAGTTTTTGAAAAAATCTCTCTCATATATACATGTGATTCTGTGTCAAATCAACAAGGGTCTGACCATCATAGATAGAATTTTTTCAAATTTGGTACACTTATAGAGCTTCATGATACAAATTGAATGGTACGTATTTAATATCTCTAGGTCAAAAGGTTCCGAGATATGACCCTTTGACAAAAAGGTGAATTTTGGAAAATAATCACAAAGTTTAAATATCAATACCTCAGTTATTTTTTCACCTACAAAGCAATGAAATAATGCTTTTTCAAGGTTTGAAGGCCTATGCAAAAAGTTTCAATAAATTCTTCTGTAAATAGTGATAGTTTGCAATGTGGTTCTATCAGTTGATAGCAAAGGTTTATAAATAAAATCATCTATTAAATTTTTTATTTATAATTTCTTCTATATATAAAACAAAGCCCTTCATCAAATTGCTACGAGTTGGGCAGTCACCCAAGTAGTAGTTAGATGTTGCTTCATTGCATGTAACAGCAGCTAATGCATTGGTGGCAATCTGTTAAATGATATTGTTCCCCACCCCCCTTCATATTTTGATGTATTATACTAACACACAGCCCCACCTGCTACATTGTTTTGGTTTGAGCTCAGCAAATTTTGAAAACCTAATTCTGTTTGGATTTCTTGATTTAAATAATTGGTATGCTTCTTTCAGGTTACAGAGTACAAGATACTTTTGTGCTTGAACTCTTCTACCATTCTTTAAGACTCTCTTATAGTCATTTTTCCAGGTATCACTGTTGACTTCTTCACTCTTATAAAACAGCACAACTTCATCAATTGTCTCTGGGAATCTACATCTTTGGGTATTTGGTAGAGTTAATATTCTTTGTTCATTTACAAGAGTGTTGGTTTTTCTTGTATGTTGTTGTGCCAAATTCCATCTTTTTTTGGAAGTATTGTCAAAATTTGTACTTTTTAGGACATCTTTTCACAAGCTGCAAACTTATTTTAATTGTGTAATAATCTCTCTTTCATTAGATCTTTTGTGCTCTTCTACACTGGTACATTCTTGAAATTTTAGTTGAAACCAGTTTAATTTTCTTTGGTATTGCTCCTTTAAGGTTTCCTACTCCCTGCTCCTAACTGGTTTGTTTTACAAGTTTTTTGACACTTGATTGTTAATTCACCAATCATTGACTCAATTAAGAAGTTGCAATTCATTTTCTTTATCTACAAAAATGTTAGAAGGCTGTGGCTGGTCTTCAGTTAATGCTGAAGTAATTTCAGAAAAATCAGGTAATGCTGTTAATTTTATTTGACAACAAGCTTGCCTGTTAATCTCCTTTAAATATTCATTTCAATGTGTCACTTTTTCAGATTAAAACTTAATTTTTAAAAACATAAAACTGAAAATGTTTTGTCCATTTAGTGTACTATGTCAAAGATCAAAAATTTAACCATTAACATCATTTGTTGCATATTTTCATATTATTTTATGTTATCTTAGCATTAATTCACGATACTTTTTTTTAAATATTTTCATTGTCACTTTTTCATATAAAAATCTATTTGTTGTATAATAAAAATGTAAACAAAATTAATAAGGTTGTTTATTTTCCAGTGAATTGGTCAACATTTAACCACAAATTCTGTTGATTTTATGATCATAGTTCTTATGTGAATATTAATCAGCATTCAAAAAGCTTTCTAAAATATATATAATTTGACCATATGAGGAGATATGAAAATGTTAGCACATAGTGGCAAATAGCGAAATTCACCATTTTGAATTTGGCCGAACTCAGTAAAACCCTTGTAACTTAGGCCACAGCCCACCACAAAATTTTGTACATCTTATCTTACTTATTATAAAACGCAGATTGTGTGTGTGTATGTGTGTGTCTGTAACGTTTATATGTTGGATCGAATTTCCTACATTTTTTAGCCGATTTCAACAAAACTTCACAGGACTACATAAAATTACCTTGTGGTGGTTCTAATGGGGCCGAAAATGGGAAAAACAGTTGTTTTTTAATAAAATCATTTTGAAAACACGATTAAGACACATCGTGAGAATGAAAGGGGGACAACTCACCCACGAAAATGTAAACAAAAGAGCATAGCATGATGAAAAAAGATGCGAACTTGACGAAAACAAAATTTTATCGTCTAATGTTCATATTATTATTAAAGAGGAAAGATCAATGTATTTTGGGGGTATTTTTTTACATTTTTTAATCATCCCTACATCTGAAATTTTCGTTAAAAATGTTTGTTTTTTTTGGTCAAAAAAAAAAAAAAAAAAAAAAAAAAAAAAAAGAAAAAAGGGGGACAGATAATCATTTTCAATCATTTTTTTCGATTTGATAAAAAAGATTAAAATCTTACTTTGATATTCTTTTAAAAATCAATTATCATTTTTTCAAAACTGATTTTAATAAAAACAAAAATTATACTGTTTATTTAAAATATTTTGAACCAAGCTTAACTTAGCTTCTGCACCGAAAAAATGTAATTTGAAAATAAAACAAAGCAGGTCATAACCTTTCGCGTCGCTTGACAAAAGGAACATTCATGACGTTTAGATAACTTATGGGAGGAGAATTCTTTCTACGGATGGAAGGAAGTGAAATTATTTAAGTGAACAAATTATTTACCTTGTTACTTTTAAGGAAAACTTTCAGCGTTCTAATTTTTTATTTTTTTATTTTTTTTATTTTTTTTTTGTACTTAGCTTTCATTTTTACGTTTACGATGCTTTATGGAAAATATAAAGAAATTAAAAAATAAGACTGTTAATAGTGAGATTAAATTTCATAAGAAAAAGGTATCTAATTAATTTAGGTACCTTTCTTATGAAATTTTATCAGAAGTGTACATAAAATACTATAATTTTATGTACATTTATTACATTTTACTGTGTTATTTGTATTTGCATTCATTTTATTATTAATTTTGATATTTCATTTATGGAAAAATGTCATAACTGAGATTAATATAAAAATAAGATCATATAAATTAAAGTTTAGCAGTAGTTAAATTTCATAAGATGATACTGTTACTTGTAGGTACCCTTCTCAGTTGAAAACTCACATTAACTTCTCCATACGTGTTTCACAAAAGTAAAGGGCTTAACAGCGGAGAACAATGCTGAACTCAAATAATGCAACTAAATTGTATTCTGGTTGGTCTTCCGTACTTGATAATTACTGTCCGACTATAAACACAAAAATTACATTTCTTAATTACCATGGCTAATCTGATTGGTCCAAATTATACAATTTTCAAAGCGCTAGACAATGACAATCTCACACGGACATTTTGAAAGGTTGATGTTGCTGTTAACTAATGTTAAAATATTTTTTAAAATTCAATTTAAACATTTTTAAAATCTTTTTAAAATTAAAGAAATAAGAAATAATTGTATTAAAAATTCAATTTTCATTGAAAAATTTTTTGCTTTCAGAAAATATTGTCCATATTCATCAAAAAAACAAATTAAAACAAATAAAAGCATTTGAAACTAAATAATATATTTGTTTTATTGAGTTTTGTATGTTACAATTCACAGATGATTTTCAGGTATGTTGGCAAAAAAAAAAAAAAAAAAAACATGATTTGCATTCTTCAAAGCCTTGTGCTTTTAACTATTGTAATCACTAAAACCGATGGTCTCGAATTTCTAGAGTTTTTCATAAAATTAGTTATGTGGGTGTTAATAAATATAAAAAAAATATTTCTGCCATGACTTTATTATTATTTTTAAAAAAAAAAATAAACATTTATAATAATTTCGATCATCTGTGAACAGTTCCTGAAAGTTTCATTAACATCTGACAATTATTTTTTTTTTTTGCAAGATTTTCCAAATTAATGTGTGTAAATACAAAAACGCGCGCTTAAAAATTATCTATGTTATTTACTACCCCTTGTTGCGACAAAAGAGAAACAAGGTTTTTTTAAATCAAAATTTAGAATATTCTAAAAAGATGGAAAAATTTTAAAAAAAATAATTAAAAAAAATTTAGTCTATCCTCTTCATAAAAACATAAGCATTTTGACGATAAAATTTTGTTTTCATAAACTTTTGGCGTCTTTTTTCATCAGACTATGCTCTATGTTTTAGCGATTCCATGGAGTGACTTAGGTTAAAAGACCCAGGTTGTTTTTATGTGTGTGTGTGTGTGTGTTCCTTTATATATGGGATCAGATTTCTTACATTTTTTCAGCCGATAAAACAAACATCCACTTTTTTTTTCGGCAGGTAGTATTCTTATTGTCTTAAGGTTTTTTTTTTCTTTATTTACATTCAGAATGCTTTAAAAATTCCATTTACAAGACAATTGTTTATAATAAAATTCTATTCACCAATCGATAGACTCATAACGATTGTAAACAATGTTTTTGTCTGAATTTGGGTTTGACCAATTCGTAAAAAAAACAAAAAAAAAAACCCCAAAAAAACAAAAAAAACAAAAAAAAAAAAACAAAAAAAAACAAACTAATTAAGACATGCGTGTCCGTCAACCTTAAACAATAATCTTTGTCAATTTTATTTTTCAGTCTTTATGATGGTCGATACTTGATCTATCTCTTACTGTTACATCCCCGGGCAACGCCGGGCTCTACTGCTAGTATGCTATAAAGTAGTTAAATTTGTTGTCAAATTTAAAAAAATATAAGATACACTTTTTGAGAAATTAAAGATCAAATTATCTTTTTACCTTTAAACCAAAAAATAAACAGATCACCTTTTAGATCTATCCAAGTACTTTAAGATGGCATATGATTTAGCTATTTAGGTGAAAAAAACAACGGAAATATTGATATTTAAACCTTGTTACTATTTCCCAAAATTCATTTATTTGGCAAAGGGTCATATCTCAGGAACCTTTAGAAATATTGATGTAAAATAGGTACCATTCAATTTGTATCATGAAGTTCTATAAGTGTACCAAATTTGAGACCCTTGTTG